AAAAAAAAAAATTACCTGAAAGGACTTATGCAGAAGAGAGAAAGAAGGGGCACAGAGCTGAGGTCAAGAGAAAGTAGGAAAAGAGGGTATGAGGGTTGAAGCCTGAATTGAGCTGAGACTTATAGAAAATTCTCAACTGGGCCGGGTGTGGTGGCTCACACTTGTAATCCCAGCACTTTGGGAGGCTGAGGCAGGCGGATCACGAGGTCAGGAGATTGAGACCATCCTGGCTAACATGGTGAAACCTCGTCTCTACTAAAAATACAAAAAATTAGCTGGGTGTGGTGGCACATGGCTATAGTCCTAGCTACTTGGGAGGCTGAGGCAGAAGAATTGCCTGAACACGGGAGGTAGAGGTTGCAGTGAGCTGAGATCGTGCCATTGTACTCCAGCCTGGTGACAGAGCAAGACCCCATCTAGAAAAAAGAAAAAAGAAAATTCTCAGAATCACCAAAGTAGCCTCTTAATTTTTTTGAGTAGGAAGAAAATGGGTACCTCCTTTGAGCATGCTAATATAATTATAAAAGGAGAAACCAAAATAGCTAGTTCCTAATTTGTTCACCAGACTTCTTCCTCCTTTGAGCAGTGTGGGGAACAGTCTTGGTGAAACAGACATGAAGACCTATTCAGGCCTTTGAGGAACTGCCGGCTAAGAAGAACTTCGAGGAGACTGACAGTGGCCACATTCTGTTGTAATTTATAAAAAGTGAAGGAAAATGGAATTCTGTAATGTATAAATTTGGGTGAAAATGATAGCCTCCAGTACAATTTCTAAATGGGGTTTTAAAAAAAAGAATTTCAGACTTAAAAGTTGCAAAAACCTAACAAAGATCTTACATTTACCTTTACCCAGATTCCGTGAATGTTAACATTTTACTGTTTGCTTTCAATCTCTTTTTCATTCATTCACTCTACGCATATATAATATGTATTCACACATGTATGTATGATATACATATACACATGTACTTACATATTGTTTTCTGAACCATTTGCAAGTTCTGAACCATTTGAAAGTTGCAAACGTAATGCCATCAATCCTTAAATACTTCATTGTGTATTTTCAAAAAGAATGACATTTTTTGGGCTGGGCGCGGTGGCTCAAGCCTGTAATCCCAGCACTTTGGGAGGCCGAGGCGGGTGGATCACAAGGTCAAGAGATTGAGACCATCCTGGTCAACATGGTGAAACCCCGTCTCTACTAAAAATACAAAAAATTAGCTGGGCATGGTGGCGCGTGCCTGTAATCCCAGCTGC